TCAGGAAACCTTGTTTTTAATGATTCCTGTATGTGACTGACAGCTTGCCTAGCCTGAGACCATGGCTTGTAAAGAGGAAGGCCTGAGGTCCATGCCAGACACTTGCATGAACAAGCAAGCGTAGAGCATCCTGAGCCCTGATAATCTAGAGGTAAGGAAGCCACTGAACCAGGAAGAATGCATCAACCATGTCTTCCTGCAGATTTTTAGAGATTACCTAAAAATAATCCTGAAGGCTGACCATGACTTACAACTTGTGCTTATCTTCGGTCTGGATTTCTTCCACCTGTTTTCTTAATGCTGAGCTGGGTCTCCACTAGTATGTTTGGTGTTTCCCAACATACCATACACACCCCCTATTGATCCTTTGATGCCCTCAGAGGATTCATGCTACTCACCCCCACATCATGAAAATCTATGCTTGAATAGCATCTCTCTGAGAGACCATTGCATCTGTCCTTCGGTCTATCCATCATTCACTTTCCATTCGGGCATGTCATACTAATAGTATCAATTCGCCATGAACTGATTTCTCCAAATCCCTGCAGCCATGCTGTTTAACAAGAGGTCCACAGACAATATTGGGTGAACAAAAATGCAAATAGGAGCAAGAAAAAAGTGGATTTGGAATTAAAGTTCTCCCAACCCACAACAACCAATAACATTGGCAGGATGCCTTCAGCTGCAGCACCTCTTGTTGCTTTTCGCTTCTTTGCCTCTGTTCATGTCGCTGCCCCTTCCATCCCTTTTCTTCTACTTGATATCTATCAAGTACCAATTGTTTCCTCTTATTGCCAGATTCTGACATTTCCTGCTTGCACCTCTGTTTCTCCTTCTGATGCAGTGAGGGGGAGGGCTCCACCGTGTTCCATCCCTCCCATGTACACCTTATTCTTTATTACCTATCTAGGAGTATTTTAACTCCCCAGCCATAGGCTCTGTGTGTAGAAACTAGACTTCAACACGCATGTTCACATGTTTGCCTATATCCATACTCATATCATATTATTATCAAGTGTTATTATAAACTCATGGTATCTAGTAATATAGATTTTTAAAAAGATACTTTAACATTATATTGTTATTAAAAATGTTGAATCTCAATCCTGTATTTCTACCCCGTCTTTGACCATTTGATTCCCAGATAAAAACACACATAACCTTTATATTTATAATAAGCTTTAGTCAGCACTAGAGCTGGGCAGATATCTATCCTCTTTGCTATTGTGTCAGTTTCCCAGGCAGTAATCACGTTATATAATTTGCCATGTTTTATCTAGGCTGGTCTTAACTCTCACTTGCCAACCCGCATGGCCATTTTTTAGAGATTCTTACCCAATGGAGGCTTCTTCTCTCTTCCTTCTTCTTTTCTTCCCCCTCTTCATGGTCTCCTCCAACCCCAAAGCCAGAAACACCAAAACCTGCCTATCTCAATTCTGCCCAACTACAGGCTGTTGGCACCTTTATTCACCAACCAGAAATAACTTGGGGACAAGGTCACACATTACTTGGATTTACGTGTGAACTGTCTCACCTCTGGGGCAACTAGGCCTTGGGGGCCTGCACTTAGCATTACAATACACAGCCACAGATCAAACCTCAACATAATATAAAGGACAAGTTTCTACCCTGCAGATATGTCTCCACTGTTTTAATGATTATTCTGTTTTGTTGTATCTAGCCAGTCCTTTCTGAGTTAAGATAATAGTCTTTCACTATGTGTGGTGTACACTTTGAGGATAGATGGAGTGAGAGATAGTTTTGGAGAGACATTAGCTATAAAACCAGCATGTGACTGCCTATACTATGAGTTCCCAGTAGAAATACTCTTCACTCTTAAAAAAAAAGAAAATTCATATCTTCAACAACAACAACAACAACAAAAACAAAACAAAACAAAACAAAAAACCCCTCATATCTTCCTAAAAGAATTTTGAGAAGCAAAGATTTGAAACTCTTAAATAGTGGTGGTATGCATGACTTGTTGGATGTAGATATGTAGGGCCCATTATTTCTAGCATTTTAAAAGTATTCACTCCTTCAAATTAAACCATGATATTAGTCTTTAAAATGTCCTGGATGGGGGCAGGGGCAATACAATAACATGCACCTTTAATCTTAGCACTTGGGAGGTGGAGGCAGGCAGATCTGTGAGTTCAAGGCCAGTCTGGTTAACATAGCAATTCTGGACCTGCCACGGTGACATAAGTGAGACCAAAATATAGACTTCCCCTTTTTTCCCTCTTATTTATTTATTTATTTATTTATTTCCCAAACGCTGCTCCTCCCTCCCAGTAACCCCTCCCCAGTCCTTTTGCCTTTTCCCCTCACCTTCTCTGAGAGGGTGGACCCCTCCCCTAGGCATCCCCCCAATTCTGGTGCCTCATCAAGTCTCTGCAGGTTTAGTATCTTCTCTCACTGAGGCCAGACAAAGCAACCCTGTTAGGGAATAGATTCCACTGTCATGCAACAGCTTTAGGGAGAGCCCCGGCTCCAGTTAGGGGAACCACACAGAGATTGAGCTGCATGTCTGTCCTATATGTCCTCGGGGCTTGCTCCAGCTCCTGTATGCTCTTTGCTTCGTAGCTCAGTCTCTGAGAGCTCCCAGAGGTCCATGTTAGTTGACTGTCTTCCTGTGGAGTTTCTGTTCTCCTTCAGAGTTTTCAGGCCTCCAAATCTACAATAGGAGTCCTTGACTTTCCTACAGTATCTGGCTGTGGATGTCTGTATCTGTTTTAGTCAGCTGCTGGGTAGGGCCTCTCAGAGGCCAGTTGTGCTAGGTGCCTGTCTGCAAGCATAACAGAGTGTCAGAGATTGGTGCTTGCCCATGGAATAGGCCTCAAGTTGGGCTGGTTACTGGTTGGCCATTCCTTCAGTCTTTGCTCCATCTTTGTCCCTGCATTGCTTTTAGACAGGACAAATTTTGGATCAAAAGTTTTGTGTGTGGGTTGGTGTCCTTATCCCTCCACTGGGGATCCAGCCTGGCTCCAGGAGGTGGACTGTTTACGTTCCATATCCCCACTGCTATGCCTCTTGGGTAAAGTCCCCCACATTGACTCCCAAGAGCCTCCCTCATCCCAGGTCTCTGGGACTTCTAGAGACTCCACCCACCCCGAAACCCCAGTAGCTTCAGATTTCCAGCCATTCTCCTGATCTCTGCCGTCTTTCCTGTCTTCGTACATATCCTGATTTTCTTCTTTTCATGGTTTGAAATGGTATACAGTTCCCCTTTCCGTACTGAGTTTTGAATTCTGGTCTAATCCCGTACACAGTTTTAATCTAATGCACAATATTTTCTTCTTGGAGGTCTTATTGATCAGCTATCACTACAACACTCATGGATGTAAATTGAAATTTCCCAGGAACATGAGGACGTTCTAAAATCTCTGTTGCATGTATTGAAAGATAATTTGTTACATGCAAATAAAAAGATGCTCCCTGCAATTGCATAATAAATCTAGTGATTATTTCTGGTTGAAAGCATGAAATAAAGGAAGCATAACTTTTCTTATTTTCAATTTTTTATCAGTGATGACAACCATTTTTATATAAATCAAAAGAATGAGGATAGGAAAAATTTTTATTGTAGCAATATTGACTCATTCCTTGAACTTTTAGATTATTTGGTTAAAAATATGTTAATTGTCAAAGTTATTTTTAATCCTCTAATGGGTGATAAACAATTAGTTCATCTGCCAGTCAGCTGGTTCTGTTGACAGAAAAGGCCACAGAATTAGACAAGTGTCACAGAGTGCCAGGCATAGGACTTATGTATTATGTAATATCTTACCACATAAGAGTTTAATTCTGTGAGATTCTATTTATTGTAGAAAGCCACTGTTTACTGTGAACTTCCCACAGGGGTAGCAAATCTGCCTCAGTTTCCCCATTTGGTTTATAGCTCTCCAGAATAATTTTTTCTTTTCATTTTATTTCTTATATATTTCAAATATGTACATGTAAGTTTTTATCATGCTACTTGTTTATGAACTTTATAATATATCGCTTTTGAAATGCTATTGATAAATTCTAATTTTATGGCTTTTAAAATAATTATGTGATAGGCTTTGATGAGTTCTGATTCTTCCCTTTTAAATGTTTATTGCTTCAAGTATATCTTTATAAGCATCTAATTATTTTAATTTAGGAATTACTTCTAATCAAAATCACAATTTTTTAAAAGGTATGTCTCAACAAACAAAGAAGTACATGTCTTTTTTTCAGTTACACTAACTATTTTGTCCTGAGGTATATTGGTTTAATTCTCATTCCACTAGGTTGACAATTTTTATTTTCTAGAGGTTTCTAAAATTTTATTTTTCAATGAAACACATTTTTTCTCATAATTTTGCATTTAAAAGTGAAACAGGAAAGACTTTAGGATCTGGCTTGATGGTAGAGCACTTGCCTACGATGCCATGCCCAGCACAGCAAAGCAAAGAAAGCCCAGACACCAAGCATACAGGATATCTTCTGCATTTTCACCTCTCAACTTCCTATCTTTTCTTGATGAACAATCTACTTAACAGAGAAAACAGTCACAGTGTGCAAAATAGACATAGACATACTTGATCATTTACCGTGTACTGGGCATATGCTAATTTCATCACCAGAATTATCATATTTAGTCTCCACAGTAGCCTTACAAAACATGAGGTAGTGTTTCCCTAGCAGCCAAACAGCAGACTCTTATTAGGTTCACATTGGGTGTTTTTCCATAACAGTAATTCCTATTATCACTTTAATGAAGGATAGATGATATCCCTTGTCAGTCTGAGTCTTAACTCAGGTCTACCTTTTTGCAGAAGAGAAGTTGAATGCACTTTAGTTCAAAAGATAACCAAACACAAACGATTGTCATGTTTCCCCTCCAAAATCAATCTTGTTTGGTACCAAATACCTTTTAAAATGAACTCAGCATCACTTTCAAAACAGTTGTGTGTTTTGTGTCAACAAATGGCTATGATTTATTAATATCTGACTTTTTTTTCCTCTTAAAGATAGTGTTCCTAGAAGAATCATCTCAGCAAGAAAAACTGGCCAAAGAATGGTGCTTCAAACCATGTGAGATCAGAGAGCTGAGCCACCAGTAAGTCTCTGCCAACATTTTCCCTTCTTCTGGAAGCCAGTATCAGGTTCAAGCAATGAGAAATGTTCATTGAGAGAGGGGGGAGGCTTTTTAATTAACCATTGGCCATTAGTGGGGAAAATGGGAGAGGTAAAGGCCATCTGAAGGATAGAAACTTGGAAGAGCAGAGGCTGCCATAGTTCCTTTATTTCTTTAGCAAGCATCTGTTGAGTATTTTGTGTGCAATATTATAATCTTAACAAGTCTTTAGCTCTATATAAGAGAGGGGAGGGGAGGGACAAAAACAGAGAAAGTATTATGGAACAGAGTTTGAGAAACTACTCCAGTGGCATGATTAGGGAGGACCTGTGTTCAAAGTGCACTTGAGTTGGAATTTTTATGGTCTTTACTATCTACATAAAATGTGCTTCCAGTGGCAGGATTACTGTCTCCATAGCCTGGCTGATTTGTTTTATACAAATGAGAGTACTCGTCTCAAGCTGGCGGATTTTACCTAGTTCCAGAAGGCTGTGTTTTAAATCCAATAAAAGTGGCACAGAATTTTTATTCTGAAAATTCGCTTAAAACTTGGAAAGTAACTTTAGGATAATGGAGTTGGAAGTTCGCTGAACTAGTGATGGTATTCAAACAGAATGTGTGGCACAGGCCTAGGCCCTCAGTCAACTGTTCTTCTTGTACAGCTTGTATCAGTGTTTGCCATTTGTATAGAACTTAGTGGACAGATGGGGAATGCCATCACATGCCTGTAATCCCAGCACTAGGAGGCTGGGGCAGAGCTGCAAGTTCAAGACTAGTCTGGGTTATATATTGAGACCTCAGCTCAAAAAGGAAATGAGGAGTGGGGTGGGGTGGGACGGGGCCTGGAACTGTGGAAGTAGAATAGTGGTAGATCACATGCTTGTTATGTATGAGGTCCTCAGGTTTACAAAAATAAAGTTAAATAAAAATAAAGAAATATGAAGGATGGGTAGATGTTCTGATTACTGTATATTATTCTTTATTTTCTCAAATTTTTAAAAGGCTAGGCCACCACTTCAGGTTTAAAGTGTGAAGCTGATGTTCTAAGAGAGTTATTCTGACTGTCTATCATGGGGTGGGGTAAGCTGAGATGTGGTGGGAGGGGGGCTACTTCACCTTGTTCTAGGGAAGCCAGTGGACCTCCTCTTGGTTCTGCCCCAGGTGCTTCTTGATAGCTACCATCCAGCTCCAAAGCATATGGTGAATTGGCTTCTAACCTGGGCTGGGACAGTGACAGGTTACACGTCTGTAACCATCTCTGAACTGCACCTCTCTCTGTAAAATGAGGTAGTGCACTTAAAGACATTGTTCCACACACATCTCTCACATCCCACACGCTTGTGCCTTTATCTCAGCAAACCAAATCCTCACCATTGAGTGTGTGGATTTGGGTGGGGCCACATCCCAGTACTTCTTGTATTTGGTAAAAGCCACACTCTGGCCACAGAAACTTCTTCCTAGCCCATCTTCTGCTCTTGAATACTGCACCCTCAAACATCTCCTTTGTTCTTGGATCCTGATAAGCACACACAGGTTTCCTTTGCATAAATAATAAATAAATAAATAAATAAATAAATAAATAAATAAATAAGTCACGAAGTCTTATGTGCTCTTTTCATCTTGACTTTTGCTATGAAATATGCCTGCCCAATTCTTTCTCCATCACTCACCCACATGGGGAGTGCTTTACTCCTCAGCACCTTGGACAGAACTAAAGTAACCCAAGCCTCAGGGAGTAAATCCTTTTAAAGTTCAAAGCTCCACCATGGGATCACTGCATTAGGGGTTCTATAGTCTCTCTGAGGCTTCATGTCTTTTGCCTTCAGATTCTTGTCACTGGCCACTTCTTTACCTCCTTTGTCTCTTTCTAATATCTCCTGGGTCCCCTCTATTTTCTTGATGACAGTTCTGCCAAGTTCAGCGCCTTCTTCTCTTCCTCTGTCCTTAAGTGGCTGCTGCTACACAGGAGTTAGCTTTGTTTATTTCTACAGAAATTTCTGTGATTTGAACCTTGAAGAGAAGCTTCTTAGCCCTGAATCTTGTCTTTAACTATTGTGAGACAGCGTATCCCACACCATCAGTAACTTCCTGGACACCTAGAGGCCACAAACTAAAGACTAGATGTGATTTGAGTGTGTCCTTCAAAGGTTCCTATGCTGGAAGTTGGACCCAGTGTACAGTACAGATATTGAGAAGCAGTGGGACTTTTGAGAGAGGGGACCTGGTTGGAGATGACTTGTGATGATCACACAAAGTGAGGGGGTTCCTGTGAGAGTGGGCTGAAATTGGCTGAATTAAAGTGACTCTGTCCCATATAGTTGGCTTATTCTGTATGCAGCTGGTTATTTTTACAATTCTCTATGTGGTGTAATGCAAGAAGGTCTGCCCTTGCCTAGATCATGCACACACATTTTTAGAAGTGTGAGCTAAATAAGCCGGTTTTAAAAGTAAACTATTCATCCTTAGGTAGTTTGTTGCAGAAATATGCAACAATACGCTGCATCATATTTTGACACTTGGCTTAGACTAACATCATGTGACCCTGCACACCTGACTCTGTTCTTATGTCCTCTGTACTTTGTGTGTTCACCCTTATATGCTCAAAACTTTATTTCTCTGACTCATCTTGTTTGCTTCTAGGGACTGATAGAATATTAAATTCTCCCTCTTGTATTTATCATTTGTTTTTCTGTTCCCATTACTGTGATCTTTATTCAGAAACTTTGTGCATGAATAGTTTCAAGAGTCTCCTATATCATGTATTTTTTTTACCATGTGTGGATTTATATAGTGATATGTGCACATGCACATGCATAAACACGTGGAGAAGGCTGAGTCTGACACTAAATATCTTCTTCAACCATTTTCCACCTTATTTATTGAAATCCAGAGCTTATTGACTCAGCTAATCTACTCTTCTAGCTTGCCTCCCCTTGTAGGAGGAGCTAAGGTGGGAGGAGTTAGGAGAGGAAGAGGAGGAATAGAAAGGAGAGGAGGAAAAGGAAGAGGAGGAGCTAGGAGAAGGGGGAGAGAGAGAGAGAGAGAGGGAGGAGATTGAGGCAAATGTTCATGTGTCTGTAGCAGTCAAAGCTGGTTGGTATATCTAGGTTGGGTATTGGGTTACATTTCTGATTGTATGGGCATCTTGTTACTGATCATTACCAAATATATAAGCCTTTGTTTAATCTTTAAGCATTAGAGTCTCATCTTTCTACTGGGCCCGCGTGGATGGTGGGATGGTCTGAGCAATGCCCAGCCTTGTGGATTGGCTCTGCCAATCTCCCATGCTGGCATCTCGTGGTGGCAGGGCTGGTGTTTCTTTCTGGCCATTTCTAGCTGTGGCATGCATATGGCCTCCAGCCAAGAAACATGGTGTGGCTGAGCTAGGCAGAGCCACCACAGCTTAGATAGTTGGCTTAACCAGAGGCCGAGTTTAAATAATTACAACAACATCCCCTGTGCTGGGATTAAAGGTGAGCCACCATGCTCTCCTGATATTTCCATGGCTATTAGAAATTTGAACTCTGGTTTTTATGCTTGCCCAGGAAACACTTTATTCACTGAGCTATCTCTCTCAGGCCCTTCAACATTATGTTTGGGACTGATTCATATTATAAGAGAACTTGTTTTTTATTTTCCTGAATAGTATTCCACTGGGCCACAGTTTGTTTATCCATATTTTCCCATGACAATTATTTATATTGTTTCCAATTTGGGGATACAGTATGAACAGAACTGCTGCAAACATTCTGGCACAATCTGTTTCATAAATTTATTCTTTATTTCTCTTCAGTAGACACTTAAGACTGAAACTATTCACTAAGATCCTCTGTGTAACAAGATTTCTCTCTCTCTCTCTTTCTCTAACACTCACACTCCCCTAATATCTTGAGATATAAAGTCTCCGAAGACAAGGAGATGCCTTATTTCTCTGTAGACTCCTCACAAGTCTTAACAGAGCTTCCTAAACATGACTGAAGAGCACATGAACTCAAAGCTGTTTCACTTTGTGGTGGTAAAGAGAATAAGAACCCCAAGACAGAGGTATGCAGAGAGGACAGTGACTAACACATTTCACACTGTAGGCTCCCTTCTTATTCATGAGTTGTCACTGTTCTTTGTCTGTCACAAAGTGTAGTGAACAACAATGCTGAGCTTACAGGGGAGCTGTCAAAGACAAAGCTGTTCTCCAAAACTCATACGCTAAGGATTAGGTTTTTCAAGCTAAGTACATTTCCTGAACTTACATTTATTGTTAGACAAATGAGGATGCTGCTTGCCTACTCTACAACATTATATTTTCACCAGCTGCAGCATTTATTGATGCTTTCTGCCTTTGCTAGGCACCACTCTTGCATCCAGTAACTCATTCCTCTCCACAATTTTGTGGTCATAACACTTTGCTTATTTTTCATAAGGTGAAAAATGAGATTCAGGGGGACTGGATCACATGACACATATCTCACTTCTGGTTAGTGGTGGGTCCTCACGCAGATAGTCTGATCTAGCTTGTAGAGCAAGCTGCTTACTACAAGTGACATGATGCTTAGAGAATGCTGTGCCCAGCTTCAGTACATGCACACATTCAGTGTTAGCTGTAATAATTGCAGCTGCATACCATTTCTCGTTCTCTTCTTAAAATAGAGCATTTTAAAGCTGCCCATGGCTGCATCTTACGTCTGGATGTATGGATACATTTTATTTGCTGGCTAAGAGACATTTTCTCAACTGAAGTTTCCCTTTTCAGTTTGACTCCTGGTAGACTGAATTTGATAAAACAAACAAACAAACAAAAAGGACAAAAGAAAGAAGGAAGGAAGGAAAGAAAAAGATAGAAGGAAAGAAGGAAGGGAGGAAGGAAAGAAAGACAAAAGAAAGAAAGAAGAGAGAAAGAAAGAAGAAAGAAGGAAAGAAAGAAAGAAGAAAGAGAGGGAGAGAAAGAAATAAAGGAAGGAAGGAAGAAAAAGGAAAGAAAGGAAGAAAAAGGAAAGAAGAAAAAGGAAAGAAAGAAAGATTTTCTCAAAAAACCAGCTCCTGGTTTTGTTGATTCTTTGTATAGTGGTTTTTGTTATTTTCTGCCGTCTACTCTTCATCTATTCCTCTTGGCCGTATATGCTTCTTTTTGTTATAGAGCTTTCAGGTGTGCTGTTAAGCTGCTATTGTATGCTATCTCCAGTTTCTTTTTGGAGGCTCTCAGAGCTATGAGTTTTCCTCTTAGCACTGCTTTCAATGTGTCCCATAAGTTTGGGTATGTTGTGCCTTCATTTTCATTAAATTCTAAAAAGTTTTTAATTTCTTTCTTTATTTTTTCCTTAGTCAAGTTATCATTGAGTAGGGCATTGTTCGGCTTCCATGTGTATGTGGGCTTTCTGTTGTTTTTGTTGCTATTGAAGACCAGCCTTAGTCCGTGGTGATCTGAAAGGATGCATGGGATTATTTCAATCTACTTGTATCAGTTGAGGATGGTTTTGTGACAATTTTAGTCAATTTTGGAGAAGGTATCATGAGATGCTAAGAAGAAGATATATCCTTTTATTTTAGGATGAAATGTTCTATAGATGTCTGTTAAAACCATTTGGTCCATCACTTCTGTTAGTTTTATTGTGTCTGTGTTTAGTTTGTGTTTCCATGACCTGTCCATTGATGAAAGTGGGGTGTTGAAGCCTCCCACTATTATTGTGTGAGGTGCAATGTGTGCTTTGAGCTTTAAGAAAGTTTCTTTTATGAATGAGGGTGTCCTTGCATTTGAAGCATAGGTGCTCAGAATTGAGAATTCTTTTTGGTAGATTTTTCCTTTGATGAGTATGAAGTGTCCTTCCTTATCTTTTTTGATAACTTTTGATGGAAAGTCGATTTTATTCGGTATTAGAATGGCTAGTCCAGATTGTTTCTTGGGACCATTTGCTTGGAAAATTGTTTTCCAGCCCTTTACTCTGAGGCAGTGAGGTGCATTTCCTGTACGCAGCAAAACACTGGGTCCTGTTTACGTATCGAGTCTGTTATTCTATGTCTTTTTATTGGAGGAATTGAGTCTATTGATGTTAAGAGATATTAAGGAATAGTGATTGTTACTTCCTGTTATTTTTGTTGTTAGAGGTGTAACTATGTTTGTGTGGCTATCTTCTTTTAGGTTTCTTGAGAGAAGATTACTTTCTTGCTTTTTCTAGGGTATAGTTTCCCTCCTTGTGTTGAAGTTTTCCATCTATTATCCTTTGTAGAGATGAGTTTGTGGAAAGATATTGTATAAATTTGGTTTTGTCATAGAATATCTTGGTTTCTCCATCTATGGTAATTGAGAGTTTGTTGGGTACAGTAGCCCAGGCTGGCATTTGTGTTCTCTTAGGGTCTGTATGACATCTGCCCAGGATCTTCTGGCTTTTATAGTCTTTGGTGAGAAGTCTGGTATAATTCTGATAGGTCTGGCTTTATATGTTACTTGACCTTTTTCCCCTACTGCTTTTAATATTCTCTTTGTTTTGTGAATTTGGTGTTTTGACTATTATGTGATGGAAGGAATTTCTTCTCTGGTCTAGTCTATATGGAGTTCGGTAGGCTTCTTGTATATTTATGGACATCTCGTTCTTTAGATTAGGGAAATTTTCTTCTATAATTTTGTTGAAGATATTTACTGGTCCTTTAAGTTAGGAATCTTCACTCTCTTCTATACCTATTATCCTTAGATTTCATCTTCTCATTGTGTTCTAAATTTCCTGGATGTTTTAGGTTAGAAGCTTTTTGCATTTTGCATTCTCTTTGATTGTTGTGTCAGTGTTTTCTATGGTATCTTCTGCACCTGAGATTCTCTCTTCTATCTCTTGTATTATGTTGGTGTTACTAGGTTTTCTGTCTCCAGGGTTGTCTCCGTTTGTGATTTCTTTATTGGTTCTATTTCTGTTTTTAGATCCTGTATGGTTTTGTTCAATGCCTTTACCTGTTTGGTTGTCTTTTTCTATAATTCTTTAAGGGATTTTTGTATTTCCTCTTTAAGGGCTTCTGCCTGTTTACTTGTGTTCTGTATTTCTTTAAGGGGGTTATTTAGGTCCTTCTCAATGTCCTCTATCATCATCATGAGATGTGACTCTAAATCAGAGTCTTGCTTTTCTGGTGTGTCGGGGTATCCAGGGCTCACTGTGGTGGAAGAACTGGGTTCTGATGATGCCAAGTAGCCTTGGTTTCTGTTGCTTATGTTTCTGCCCTTGCCTCTCACTATCTGAATATCTCTGGTGTTAGCTGGTTTTGCTGTCTCTGACTGTGGTTTGTCCCTCCTTCAAGCCTATGTGTCAGTATGCCTGGGAGACTAGTTCTTTCAGGGTTGAATTTGGGTATGGAGAGCTGTGGCACAGGGTCAGCTCTGGGGTGCAGACCGAAACCTGAAGGATCCTGTCCCCGGCTGTTCCTTGGTCCCTGTGTCTTGATGACTCTGGGCTGGTCCCTGTTGGACCAGGAATTTGAGCAGAAGTGGTGGTGTTACCTGTGCTCACAGGTGTGCCAGCACTCCTGGGAGACCAGCTCTCTACTGGTGGTATTTGGGTATGGAGCGCTGTGGCATAGGGTAAGCTCCACACACTCTCTCTCTTTTAGCAGAACAGTTTACTTAAAAAATAAAATAAAATAAAATATAAAATAAAATAAATAAAATAAAATAAAACACTTCCAGTTTTAAAATTGTAAGACAAAAGAAACCCTTGTCTAAAGATGCTATTCAATGTTTTCCTTTTCCTCTTACTTCTCAGTGAGTTCTTCATGCCAGGCCTTGTTGATGCACACATCCATGCCCCTCAGTATGCCTTTGCTGGAAGCAACGTTGACCTGCCACTTTTGGAGTGGCTAAACAAGTATACATATCCTACCGAACTAAGATTCCAGAGCACCGATGTGGCCGAAGAAGTCTACACTAGAGTTGTCGTGAGTACTCTGTGCCAGTCCTGTGTGATGCCTGTTCATCTATGCAAACATTCATTTCCAGGACCAGACTTCAGGTATCAAACTAAGGACATTAAGGTTGGCAAGGACTGCAACAGTTTTAGCTCTTTTCATAATCCACTGACTACTCCAGCCTCACAGTGACAGGGAGAGAATTTGAGTCTTATGACTCTAGTCTCAGCATGGTGGATTCTAAAGTATTCTCTTACTCTTGTGTTCTGGGTGCTTTCTCTCATTGCAGCCATAATCCTGTTCTGAGGACCATATGGAATATCTGTGTGACCTTTAAAAGGCTCTGTGACTCACTGTGCCCATCTGTAAAACTCAGATAATGATAGTATTTATTTCATGGGATCATTATGATAATATACTAGGTTAATATTTGTGGGATACTTAAAATAGTGCCTAGCACATGGTAAGAACTCTATCTATCTATCTATCTATCTATCTATCTATCTATCTATCTATCTA